GTGAATCAAGCTTTTCACACATGAACTCAATCAAAAGTAGCACTCGCTGCTCCCTGACTGACAGCACTCTTCACCAATGTCTTAGGATTGCATTGACATCTATGAGCCACAAATCACTGCTCTTGTTCAAAACAAAAAATGTCCCTTCTCCCATTGAGAAAGTCAGCGATGACAAATCACAAATGAGGTGATAGTAAGCACCTAGTTTACTATAGTGTAGTGTAGTATTCATTCATATAGTTACCCGTATCCCTTGTTATGGGTTTGTGCACTGAAGGGTTTGACAGTTCTTTCTGTATTCATTTAAATGCACTTTGTAATGTGTCTGGGTCAAATGTGACCAAAACGTATGATTTTTTTGTTATTACTTGAAAAGTGAAAAAATAGTATTGCTACAGTACTACCTCTTTGTGTTGCATTGGAGCTCTTTTGCTTTTTTTTTTGTATGTGAGGACATTTATTAAGACTGCTATTATTGTATTCAGTAAATGCACTTTGTGATGTGCCTGGTTAAAAAAAAATAACCTGAATATTTGACTTCTAAAGCAAACAAATGGAATGCTACAACTGTGCACTTTTTTTTCAGATTCTGTTAAATTAATGCTAATTTGTTGTGTTTTTATGCACTTTTTGACCTACCTTTGTTAGATGAACAATGAATAAAAATTGCATGTTTTTCATCGCAGTAATATGTGTTTGTTTAAAATGTGTCACTACCCGCTTTTTACAGGCCGCTGAATGTCTGGCCCAGGTGAATTTTGTAGTTATAAAATCTGGCCCAACTGAATGTGTAGTTGAATAGCCCTGGTCTACGGTAACTCACCTCCAGTGAACGCTCTCTGGAACTGAAAGATGTCCTCTCCTCTGAGCTCTTCAGCTATTTGACCAATTTTCTGCCTGACTGAATCCAGTTTCAACTCTGCTTCATTCAAAATATCCTCTGCATTTGGTACACTACCAATAAAGACAAACACACAGAATAAACGTTAGAAATACAAGATCAGAAAAGTACAGAAAACAGAAGTTATATTGTGTTGCAGCATATGTACTAACTGAAAATTAGAGGAATTCTCCCATTTAAATTAGGTTCACCAATTAAGATGTATTGTTATAATTGTTTATACCTGGTCACTCTATGTAAAAGGAAAATGGTCCTCTTGCTTTCGATGGTGACGTCTCGACTGATCTTGACAAGGCGCTCATGTTTGTCGTGTTTGGTGTCAAGCTCCTGTTGGAAAACTTCAAAGACAGAAAAGTTTGATGTCTCGACACAAATGAAATCCAGACAACATGACGGTGACACTGCAATTAAAAAGGCTGATGGTGCAGTTACCTTTGAAAGCAGCGATGACCGGTGAGGATGATTGTGCACTCGCTTCACGATCCTGCGCTGCATCAGCATTTCTCCGGGAGCCTCCTTCACCTGACACAAAGCATAAAGTATGCAGGTTGTCTTCAATAATAAATGGCTTTTTGCTGTCAATTTCTCCAAACTGGCCTTGTCAAATTAAAAAGCCACTCCATCGATGTTGCTCAATACGATCAGTTTAGTCATTTGCACTGACGTCAACAGTGTTTATTGTGAAAGGCGGTAAAGACATACATATTTAATAGAAGTCTGTGTTACAAACTGGATTTTGAGCTTTAAACATATGGTTTTGTTGTGGGACTTGCAGGATCTAGCTTTGTTTTTGAGATTCAACTATTTTTGGTAGGCGGGGATGGAATTCGAGCCACAACCATGAGATAATCAATAACAATCTGAAACTATTTGTCTTTCTATTTTTTAATAAATGAATGGTCAGTTTTGAAAAAAACAAAGAATCCTTCGTTACAGCTTCTCAAAAATGTTTATTTGCCGATTTTTTGGAAGTTTTTTTTATGATAGTGAAGTGACTAACCTCAACATTCAAGGCTTTATTGTGATGTGCACAGTAGCTACAGTGTAGATATGGCAATGAAAAACGTCCCAGGCTCCTTCAACAATGCAACATAATATATAGGACATACAACCAATAAAATAGTGCAAGAGAATGTTGAAGATGTGCAAGTAGATACAAATAAAACAGAAATAGTGCAAGAAGAGTCTATAAATACATGAATGGAATATGATATAGATAAATAAATTGCAAGATGCAAACAGATGAATGTTTATGGAGGCACCTTGTGTGTTTCGCATGCTGATCAAACTAATTTGAAGACATAAGTTTGGGGTTCGGACTTTTTTTTTACTCTCACATTTGGCAAGCCATATCATCAAAATACTAAACGAGAAAATAGTGGGCTGACTAAATCAATAATCCAAATGCTTTAGTTGCAGCTCCGTTAGCTATCATTGCTAAGACCAGTGTTACCACTTACTAACAGAATAATACAATTTGAGCTATAGTGTGATCTTGACAAACAGTACTGTAATAAGAGAGGGACAGAAAGACAGTTTAAACATCAATATACGAATTATTTCATTGCAGTTCAGTCTTAACAGCTAGCATGCTGCTTTTTAATTCAAGCTAACTCGTTTGTTGACGTTGCGTTGTATGGCTCAGTTAATGCTATCCCATGCTGATGACAACAACCAACAATACAGCTCGTTGTTATCTTAGTTGAGTCTCAAAAGCTGGACTTACCTTCTCTCCGATTCATGCTTTCGGTATTGCAGTGTATTCTTTCAATTAATGTAATTATTGTACGCTCGGTCAGGGATGTATTCGAACTGTTTTAGCTAACGTTACAGAAAGCTGTGCTGCCGACGAGTGTAGCGAGGCAGAGTGCTGTACATGTGTCAGGGACTATCAACGTGACTAGAAAAAACACACCCGTTTGAACATAAAAGTCACCAAATCTGAGCGGTAATAAACATACTGAATTAAACAGTTCTAAAACGCCAAATAAAGCATGTGTACTTGTTTTTAAAAACAGGCATTTACGTGGTCCTCATTATTAGCCGGGCTTTTGCGCTGTTTACACGCGTAGCAGGAAACGAGAAGAAGTGTCTGATGGGATATGTAGTAACACAAGATGGCATTTTTTTAATACAGCATTTCTTTAATATACTTAAGTCATATTTTGGAATTTTAACATTTAAATGTGTTTTGAGTAATTAAAACAATAACATATATTTTAAAGCAAGGAAGAACACAGTTAATTGTTTGTTTTAAGAAATATTGTCCTGAAATATGACAAAATATAGTTGTACTTGTGATTGATGGTGTTATTTAACATTCAGTGTCATGCATTGTTGAATTAGTTGATACAATATGTACTCTATAATATGAATGTTTCTGTGTAAAATATATAGTTTTAAAGGAGGGGGGTGGATAAGCCTGCGCTTGCAGCCAAAATACTTTTTGTTTCAAGTAAAAATCCAGATTGAGTAATCAGACATCTCAAGGCTGCCACCCTTTATTAGCCTGTGTCATTTGTTGTTATTAAGCATGTTTCATCTAACCCTTGTTGATCAGATTACTCGCTTCTCTCTATAACCCCTCCTCCAGGGACTCCTGCAGACTGTGTACGTGCCACACGACTGGTGCCAACTTGAGCTTGCACTTTGCCTCTGCACAGCCCCCCCCCCTGTCATTCTGACACCAGCTTCCCGTATTTCACGACTGATAGGTCACACTTATTTCCACAATGTTGTATTCAGCTGAGTATACATTTATGCTTGATACAGATTATATACAAGTGATATTATGCATTCCGATGGACGATTTAAGTCTGTTTCTCAACATCAATCATAAGCTTCGTAACCGCCCACAAACTAATTAATCAGTCTTTTATAACACCAGCAACATCTTTATGCAAAACATGTTTTTGTTGTGTGAAAGGAATTTCACACATGTACTGTAAGGAATGAGGGCAAATCACACTGACGTTGACGTTGAATGATGATGCCTTCAAGGGCTCCCTCCAAGCTCTTTCATTCTGGCTTTCGACCTGCTCGCTTCTCCCAATGCCTCTGTTATTGAATAATTTTATTTTTGTCATGCGTAACCTATTTTATAAATCAAGCAGCAGGGATGTACGTCCTGCTACTACAGGAAGGAAAGTGTGTTTCACACATGTCAGTGATGCCCAAAGCTAAAACTATATTAGGCTTACATCACGTTTTTCCAGCTTGAGTTGCAGATGCACTTCACAATTATTTTCCCAAAACACACGTTTTCTGGACATACAAATGGATCCAATGTTAATGAAAGTGCATCCTTTATTTTGTCATATTAGTGTTAAATATTAAATATATGCCTCTAGCTCTACATCGGCCATGGTTGAGGTGGCAACGACAGAAAGAAAGTATGTTTTTGTAATATGTAGGTTTAATAATTCAACTGTATTTATTATATTCGGTATGCAGAGTTGATTCAAGAATTAAGATCCTTCACTGAAGTAAAAGTAGCAATATCAGATTTTAAATCAACTAAATTAAAAGTAAAAGTTAAATCAAGTATAAGTAAATCATCTGCTAAATATTCCTTAGCAACGACAATAATCACCCATCATGCAGGATATTCCATTTCAGTTAAATTGTATATAATGTGTATATTGATGGATATAGGCATTTGTGTGTAAGTAGCATTGTAATCAGGTAGTTTTAGGGTGGAGCTAGTTTAAATATTCTATTATGTTGGGTAGTTTATACAAAAGCAATAATTCTAATTGTGTGGATATATAGGGTAGCATACACTTGAAAAAGCTCAATACAAATAGCTTTAAAAAAATGTTGCCCATAGTTAAGCACAATACTATTTGCACTTGTGTAATTTTCACTAACACCCAACTGTCGGTTAACATGATCACAGAGAACTGGACGGGTATAAACAAGATTACATTTATGACTCTTTTATTTATTGACCAGACTTTCACACACATAGATGAGGCGAGGACATGTTCCCTATATTCCCCTGACCTGACAGATTAACTGTTTCCACGTGGTTTAGTGCCATTCTATAAACCATTATTTGTCTGACAGCCCACGAAGGCATCGCGACAGGGGCGGGGCTTGAGTGTGTACGTCAGAGAGACCAGCAGAGCACACACGGAGCGGCGCCATGCACTGCCCTCGGACCGACAGCTAGCCCTCTGAAGAGCCCGACCCAGCCCGAAATGTTCGGTCCAGGGCTCCCGTTGTTGAATTATTTCACTGATACAACATATAAAGAGGGAGTACGTGTTACACTATGGCGGGGTTTTGATTCTTACTTTTCCGTCTCGCTCGGTGTAGCGTGGCAACGGCAGGGGATCGTTTCCAAAGTTGTCGGTTAGCAGGGCGCGTGTGAAGGATCGGAATTAAAGGCGCAGTGCACCCGCTGTAGCTACAAACATGGAGAAGCAGCAGAGCGATTTGGAACGAGAGCGACAGTACTGTGAACTTTGTGGAAAAATGGAGAACCTCCTTAAGTGTGGTAGGTGCCGGAGCTCCTTCTACTGTAGCAAGGAGCACCAGAAACAGCACTGGAAGAAACACAAGCTAATGTGTATGGACAAGGCGCAGCTTCCTAAACAGAAGCCCGATCAGCCTGCGCCTTCGGGGGACGAAGAGGCACAGGAGAAAGACCGGGAAAAGACAAGCCCCGAACAGTCGGACAGTGTGTCTTTACCACAAAACTCAAACACAGAATCACCCGGAGACGGTGACGGACCGGGAGAGGTCGTGTCCAACAACACCGCCACACCTAATGGACAAACTAGCTCATCCCCTCAGAAACTTGCCATGGAGTACATAGTCCCGTGTATGAACAAGCACGGTATCTGTGTGGTGGACAACTTTTTAGGAGCAGAGACTGGGCTTGGCATTTTGGATAATGTTAAAGCTCTGCACAAAACGGGCAAGTTCACAGACGGACAGCTGGTCAGTCAAAAAAGCGACTCGACTAAAGACATCCGAGGGGACAAAATCACGTGGATAGAGGGGAGGGAGCCCGGCTGCGAGAAGATCCGCTTTCTGATGAGTCGTATGGACGACCTGGTCAGACATTGTAACGGCAAATTGGGAAACTACACAATAAATGGAAGGACGAAAGTAAGTATTGCAGGTGAAAACACACAGCCATGACTTTGAATGTAGGCTTCTTTTTTTCTACGCCAGTGGTTTGCAGTGTTGTCCCCCAGGAGCCAGATTTATGCTGGTCTGCTGAATTACACCTGCCATACAGCAAGGTGGTTAAACACCCGCAGTAGACTGGCTGTATAGGACTAAATGAAGAGTAAGTGTTGAAGGCATCTGACAGTGTTGAAGAATCAGGCATTTCCATTATGTCACCAAGGTACCATTACTTTCAATATCTGGGTTATGTTTGCTAATTAGACTTGACTTTAGGTGTAAGAGGCTAGTGAGTCCTCTAACTCCAGGTTAAAGCGTGGCTAATTCCCTGATGGATTATTTTCTCAACACAGCATTCTGTCCATTAATACACTAGTGCTGCTGAAATTTGATTTTTGATTTTTATGTTGTTAAATTAATTTGCACAACACATGCATCACATGTTGCTGCGGCACCATTAGGGACACAAGATTGATGATGCCAGTTGTAATAAAGGCACATCCAACTAGTAAATTACTTACACCTGAACTAATATGCAATAATCCATAGTTTTGATGGATTACGTGACAGAAACTGCTTCCACTGAAAGCAAGTGATAAAGCAAGGAGGAGTTCCTGTAATATGCATTTTTATAGCGGCAAGTTTATGACGAACAGAGGTGTGTCATCGATAACATGTCAATGCTTGATAAAATATTTAATTAAATCAATATTTTCACAATTATATTTTATTAGCATTATAATACACCATTCAGACCTGCACACATTTTTCTCATTATTGAAACACAGCTAAAACCAATGAGTAATTTCTCGAGAAATGTTACTAATATTATTTATTTTTATTTTTAAATTAATTTTGCACCCTGCTCTCAGAATAATCCAATGCAGTTAGTTAGCTGGCAGCACACATTACAGCTTCCCAAATAACCATAATGTTGAAAAAGCAACAAACCTTATAACTGTATAACACACTGCGCAGGTTTTTACATCTTACCAATCCAATAAACACATCCGGCAGCTTAATGCAAATACACATACTTTTGAAACTTGTGAACATTTTATTTATTACATGACATATTCATGCTTTCATTCTTATTATTTAGAGTAATGAGAGGTTTGTAAGGAAGCTGTAGCCATCTGGCAAACCCTGTGAGGATCGTGACCGTGTCGGCACTCGGCAGTATGAAGTGTGTAAAGTTGAACTGTGCTGCTGAATCATCTATATGACTGACTGTCACACCCAACCTGGCCGTAGAGAGAGAGCTGTACAAAGTGTTGCTGCTGCGGTAAATGCAGTTCAGTACCACGCACAGTTGGACAGGGCATTCCTATGTTGACAGGAAGACCGGTGTGTCTCTAGGTTGGCAGTGCGAAGGAGAGGAAACTGTGGGCTGCTTTTGTTTCAATGAGACATGTTTCTCAGAAGCCATAAGTAGTTTCATTTTCATTCTGAGACAATGAGCAGTATCATTTAAAAGTTGTCCTAACACCCTGGTAGTTATCTCTAACCGTTACTCTGCTGTGTGCTGTTCTTAAAGAAGCCTGCGTCAACCCAAAGCAATTTCAACCATGCTCCAGCTCGGCTGTTGGGTTGCGTGCGACCCTCCTTTTAACCAGATCTGATCACCATGACCTTGTGACAGGAGACTGACCCCCCAGGAGATGAGCTGCTCTCCCCCCCCCCCTCTCTCATCTCCTGGGGGAAATACTCTGACTGTTACTATGTAATTATTTCCCTGAATAGAAGGCTGAAATCAATTTCTAATGCCCTAGTTTTATTGAAAAACATTCACACAGCGAGCTCAAGATAATGCAAGATAATACTCAAGATAATGCTAGATAATACTTTATTCTAATAAAGTTGTAGAACTTTATAGACCCTGTGGGGTTTATGAAGATGGGCATGGTATGACCTTGGCACATGGTTAGTGTAGATCAGAGGTGCCCAGTACATCGACCGCGGGGGCAATGCTGGTAGATCGCGACTCATTCACAAAAAAAAAAATCCAGCTCCGTTAAAATAGACAAAACAGGTTTTGATCCCTCCCTTGGCCTCCCTGCCACTTAATTGAGGAGTTTACTTGATTGACAGAAAAAGCGACCTATCGCTTTCCAGTCTGTTAACCCAGAATGCAAAGCGATACAAGATCAGTCAAGTGCCGGGAAAACTCAAATTAAGTTAAAGAGACAAACAACAAAATGAGTGCGGGACCGAGCAAAAAGCTAAAGACATACAACTTCCACACAAAATGGGAGGAAGAAAGGTTATTTGCCTTATTTGTAAAGCAAGTGTCGCTCTGCCAAAGAAAGGTAACGTGGAGAGGCATTATCGGAGTGTTCACAAGGCATATGACAGCAACTTCCCTCCGAGTAGCGAGTTGAGAAAGAGAAAGGTCATGTATTATTGCTACAAAAACATTATCTTGCAGTCTTAGTGTCGCCAACTCGTTTCTAACATGCAAAAAGACAAACAAATGCGTCTATGGTCGGTGTATTTTCGATCTTTCCAATCGAGATGAGATCTCTCTCTCCCGTCTGTGTGCGAGGGGGCGGGGCAGTTTACACACACGCAGCTGCTACATGCAGCAAAACACGAGGAGATGGCGGAGAGAAGCGCTCCAAGGTGTGGTGTAGCAGCTGCGTGTGTGTAAACTGCCCCGCCCCCTCGCACACAGACGGGNTACTGTATATGCCGTGAGCTGATTATCGAGACTTCATTGTAACTGTCGCGGGTGTACTGTGTATTTGCGTGGGGAGTGTTGCAGTAGAAAGTTCCACTGTAGCGCCCGGTACATTAATGGGAAACCCTACATGTTTGAGCAGTCTCTATGAAACGTCAAGCTACCCCACAGCACCCCAACAAGAAAATCTCTGGCGCCGCCACTGAGCCTGCATTCCCGTTTTGAAGAAATGTGCAGTGCAAAACAGGCTCATTGCAGCCACTAATGCTGTGATAAGACACACTTTTTTGCCACATATCAGCATTTTCTTTCTTTTCATTTTTTTTGCACAGATTGCAAAGTGGCAAAGTATTATAACTTATTGTTCTAGCAAAGGGATTGCACAATTGTTTTATAGACTTATGGAGCATTGTTTTATTATCACTGTTCTAGCAAGGTTTTGAAAGGATTGCTCACGTTCATATTGATGTATTTTTAATAAATGTAAACTTGGCCCATTACGTGACTATTTGTGTTGGGGGGGCCTGACTTTTTTTTTTCTCCAAAGGGGGGCCTGACAGAAAAAGTTTGATAACCACTGCACTAAGTGAAGCATCTGTCATGTTCATCATTACATCAGACATTCAAGGAAAGGAGTAACTGCACTATTACTTCTAAAAGGACCACTTAAATATATCTCCCGTCAGGCTTTTCAAATGATCAACATAGGACAATGTTAGGAAAAAGGGTTGTCCAACTCCAAAGGCTAGGAGGAAAGCTCAGGATCGGAAGCAGCAGCGGCGGGCGGGGGGGCTGGCTTTCCTGTGGAGGGATAGGAAGAATAACCCACAGGAAAACTGCTCTAGTTGGATAAAGGACCTGGAGAGTGAAAAAGCAGATTGCTGCAAGCGTGCCGCTTAAACTCTCACACAGCTGATATGATAGGCCCCTCTCTTCACACGCAAACTAGGGAGAGCAAATAGGTTCACACCCTGTCTGAAAAAAAAGTGATGCTATTCCCATTTATACTCATTTCAATGAGGGGGAATGCCGGTGGTGTGACAAGACGAAATAAAAGCACAATAGGGTCAAAGAAGACAGGACAAATGTTTTTTTTCCCTACGACACGTAAGCAGCTCAAGCACTACTGATTTGATCAATTGTTTGTCTGCACGCAAAATCCAAATTGGTGGTATCGTGCGGCGTGGCGGCCTGTAAATGAAGAGTGAACACAGGGTGACCCCCGCCTGCAGGACATGACCCACATCAGGCTGAGTTGGACTAATGACAACCTGTTGCAATAAAGATGGGATGCAGTTTAAAACTCAAGTTGGGTACAAGCAGTTAAACTATGCTGTAAGCCAAAATGGAAACATACTGACCTATGAGGTTTTTTAATTTTTTTTAAAGAAAATACAAATGGTTATAAAATCCAATAGCGTCTAAACACCTGAAAACATTTCTTCTTAAACCTTTGAAAAGACATCTGTTTTCTTTCTGCAATGTATTTACATCTATTCATTACCTCTCTATATCATAGTTTACATTGTAAAAGCTAGAGTGCAGACTTGTCTCCCCCCTCTGGCAGGGAGAGCAATTACCATATGGGAGAAGACGTGAAAACAGAGTAAAGCTCCAGGTAAAACCACATTAACTCTGCATTCAGTGGAAAGATTAAATAAAAACAAATGTGTGAGGAGAACAAAGTGGTCCTGAGGGCGCTGGAGTTACAGTGAGCTGGACTGCAGAGGTAAGTGCGGTTGGACACCACAAAAACCACTACTCTGATATACAGCAAAACACACAGAGCTTGGTGGCCATAAGCTTAATGAGCATCAAATGTAACAGATGTTCATTTATATGTACAAGTCCCACACTCGAGCTATAATTACAATTCCACCACTGGACTTAAATTCCCTACACAAGGCAGGTAAGACATACAGAGTTATAGTTTTTAGTCTTCTCATTTACTGTTCACTGTCCTAGAACCATGTTTCTGCAAATGCAAACACAACATCTCCTAATGCTGCTAGCTAAAAGCACTCAACTAGCAAAACACGGGATAGCTTTGGATGTGAAAAACTCCAAGGAAACTCAAACGGCTGCAGCTCCTCAGCAAGGTAACTGGAAAGAGTTTCAGTTTGACCCACCAGTTGTTCTTCTGTTATATTTCTAACAAAGTAGCTGTTTGTGGAGTTTTGCTGTTGTATTAATACACATCTTATTTAGAAAAGTATGTATGTAACAGAGTCACTCTAAATCATGGCTTCTTGTGGATTATTGCACAATTATAAATATAACTTTACTGCGAGTGGACAGTTCTACAAAGCCCTAAGACCCACCATCAGAACAGGAGAGGGTACATTATTAGTGAAAAGACCAAAATAGAGTTGATGACAATGTCATTAATGCCATGTGTGAGAGTAATGTTGGTTAGTTCTGGAGGAAATGTCATGAATGATGACAACTGATCTCCAAGAACTGTAACCATGGCTGTTAATGCATGGCATAAAGGGTGTGAAAGTGTCTGCATGTCTCCACAGCACGTGTCAGCTCTAATAGAGTGGTGACCTGTCCTTGCCGCTGACCAAATGCACGCTGGGTAAAACTCCCACCTCCCCCCTCCTACAATCCTGAGCAAGAGTACCTTTTGTATCGATTGAAATTATGCAGCAAAAATGTTGCCCATGTACTTTTGCAACTGACAGAATTGTATGTGTTATCTAAGTGCAGTGTTTAAGGAAATAGCCGTCACTTTCTAATCAGGGTAATTATAAATGTTAGAAATGAACAGGGTTTCCTTGATTGAGGTGAAGTTTAAAGCATGATTCGAAGATAATTTGTTATTTAAATGTGTACGAAAAACTCCCAATGACTGATTCATTATTCATTTTCACTTTAATGCCTGTATATTTCTTCCTCCCTTCAGAGTTGTTTCTTTTATCTTTGTCACATGGGTGCACAGGAAACATTCAAAGATTTGTTTACAACTAACCATATGGACCTACTGTGCCATCGGAGCTGAAATATACATTTAGTGTACTCACAGCTGACGTGACACCAACACATTTCATAATGGTTTTGAATAGACGTGTAGAAGTGGAAAATTGGGGGTAAATAACTGGAACAACTGAACTTGAACATTTCAACAGAGCCCCAGTATCCAGGCAACCACATTCTACAAATTACAGCTCATCACACGCCAAAGAAACATCCAATCAGAGAGCAGATAGGAATCCTTTAATAGTCCAAAGGGGTCCCCAAACATGGCTTGTTGGAATGATTGAAGCCTGTGCATGAACATAACAATAGAAATCATGCAACCGCTTAGTTGATTTAACATAAAGGCCCTCAGACCCAACTGATGAACAATGCATTAACAGTAGAATATTTGCATACAAATAGGATTGTTTGATGTATTTGAAACAAAAAGCCCCAATATTGGCTGGTGACCAAATATAATTAATAGTATCCTTATTATGTTGAACTTTTACCCCTTTTAAAATTGTTTATTTTTTTAAATAGTCTTTTTTTTTGCTGTGTTACCCAAATGACCTCAAATGTTTGTGTATTATCTGACGTGACATTATATCTGAAATCCAAAGTTCAGATCATTTTCATCATAATAAGGCCAGCCTTTTTAACAGTTCTACACAGTGAGCATACCACCCTTCAGATGGATAGTCCATAGTTCACTTTTTCCACCTTCTTGTTTGTCTTCTTTGCGGTTTATGAAATAATGGTCGAATCGAAGTTAGTAGAAATTGTTAGGATATAAAGTCATAACAACCAAACCTGTCATTATTAGTCCTTCTAAGCCAAATGTTGTCACGAGGTTTAAAACTGTTAAGGCTATAACAAAGGTGGCTCAAGTATAAGGTTGAAGACAATGACATCTGATTCTGTTGGCTATTTTAAAGATGAGGGAGCAGTAACTTCTTAGTCTACGTAGCAAGACAAAACACCTTATACACGCCAAACAAGCCGAGTGATTATACTGTCAACGTTAAATTAGGGGTTTATGTTATTTTTTCTCATCATCTTAGCCTTTACTGATTGTTTGATGAGAGCTAATAATGTTCATCCTCTGTTTAGTGGCACTCAGACAGAAGACAGACTAGTGCATGATCTCACACTCTCACAAACCATCATCAGGAGGCAAAACAGAGTTTCCTGTATCTACGTCATTTCCATATGCAGGCCTGGAGGTCAAGTATGTGAGGAAGTCTGGAATACAATCTCTTGTCTAGTTATGTGTCTTGTCATGAGGCTGGCTCCTCACAGAAGCATGAAAGCCATCCTCCCACCTTGCAGTTGCTGCTTTCCCTTAGAAAGAATGTCGCTGCTTCCTGGTGTGCAGCATCCTGGTGTGCAGCATCCTGTTAGTCCGCCCGTATTCACAAGGTGACTTACTTAACCAATACAATTACAACATGTACGTTAGACACCTGAAGCACATTATAAGGTAACCTATATTTCCTTCATGCATGTATTGATAGACATGTGGAGCCCAGCGGGGGTCTGAGGCTAAAAACGAATTGGTGAACATTTTGTTTAGTAAGCTTGTGCTCTTAAGTTCATCCTTTCACATTAAGTCTGCTAGGTTAGGAGATCATATTGAGAACCTTTTTCAAATTAAATATATATTTGATCATTATATGAATGATTCTTGACCAAAACAAAGTGCAAAAAAGTAGCAGAATAGTTTTAAATGCTAATTTGGTCAGAAAGCATAGAGGTTAAGCTCAAAGGACTAGGTTTTAAATGCCTGTTTTGTAATTGGCAATCACTTATTAAGAGGTGTAGGTAGGGCTGTGCAATTAATCGTATTTTAATCTCGATTACGTTTTTTGGCTTGCAACGATTACGAAAACAACGTAATCGAAATAAAACGATTATTTTGCTGCATTCCCTTTCGCAATGATGCTCTCAATTTGTTTTGCGTTATACATCCTGCCCGCACGTGCGCTTTCGCCCCTCCCTAAAAGCCCTCTCGGCCAGGTTGTGTTGTGACTGCAGTCTGTTTAATAAATCCATATAAACACGTTAAAAGGGAAGCTTTAGTTGCCGTGTCTTTATTCTCCGGTCTCTAGCGTTCAGTCAACTTTCACTAACCTCGTCAAGCTGGAGCCTCTTAGCTACTTCCTGTTTCCGGATAAGGGGTCACCAAAATAAGAGTACTGCGTGTAGCAGTGAGTGACATTAGTCATCATATTTATATATGTTTAGTAGCTTGTGGAAATGCGCTCCAAAATGTTTGTTGATCTTCTTTATTGGTATTTATTATTTTGATATTATTTATTCAAATGGAGATATAAATGTATAATTATTTAGTTTTATCGGTTTTTCCGTTGAATTATACTTAAAGTTCAGGGTATTCAACTGTTAAAAAAATACTGCTCAGATTGTTAATTTGATTTTTTTTAACGTTCAATAAATGGATGTTTTCAAAGTCAATGAATAATCATGATTGGCTAAAGTAATCGTGATTATGATTTTTGTCATAATCGAGCAGCCCTAGGTTTAGGGGGTAATTGCGTCACTTTTTGCCTGGCAGCATCCTTCAAGTGACTTGATGGCCTAATGGAGGGAGCGTTCTCTGACTCCCATCCCATTCAGCAGCCTGGTGGTTGACATGGCCACAAGAAATGATCACTCATTTTCTCCAGCCCTTTTGTCCTGATGCACCCGCTGGATCAGAGTTCCTTAGCGTTTTGCTTTAGTATGTTCAACAACTGCATCCTCCCGTGGCCCTGTCAGTTGTGTGATGAATAGGGACCTTTGCGACGCTGACCACAGAATCAGATAAAGGCTGAGAGTGGCCATGATGATCTCTGGTGAGAAGGTGAGCTTGTGGTACAAATTACCTTCATCTTTCAATCCCATGCTGTGTCCAGTAGGGTCGATTCGGTTCCTGCAGTTGACCCTTTTTGCAACTTTGACACAAAAGCAATGGGGTTTGAAAAGCCAGAGGTTGGGAGAAAGGGCACAGGTGTTAGTCCCCTCCACAAGTGCTGGTTGCTGTATGACATGGTAGTGCCATCAGGTAGAGGTTATCATGGGTCCAAAAATGTATGCTGGACCCAAACAGATAAAGACTTGGACCCTGACTTGACCTTTCTTCTACTTGACAGCGGGGACACCATCACATTCAACCAAAGAAAAGTTGAAACTAAAAACGGCCCAAAAAGACGCCGACCTTAGCAATGCCTATTTAGGGCTGTGCAATTAATCATATTTTAGTCTCGATAGCGATTTTGGCTCGTAACGATTACGAAAACAACGTAATCTAAATAAAACTACTATTTTTGCTGCATTCCCTTTCCCAATGATGCTCTCAATTTGTCTTGCGTTATACATTCTGCCCGCTCGTGTGCTTTCGACCCTCCCTAAAAGCCCCCTCGGCCAGGTTGTGAGTGACAATAGTTGTGTGAGTTCAGCGCGAGCGGCGAATAAATGGATGTTTTCAAAGGCAATGAATAATCGTATTTAATAATCGTGATATCAATATTGACCAAAATAATCGTGATTATGATTTTTGCCATAATCAAGCAGCCCTAGGCCTATTTCTTAAGTGCTATGGTTCTGTTGGACCTCTGAAAATACCCTTTTTTTCCAAGTGTAGCATCCTCGGGTAAGGCTGGCTTTGCAACCAATCTGTATGTGATATTGAGTAATTTAACTATGAAGAAGTTCTAGGAAGTAGTTCTCGCTTTAATCTCCCTACGTTTCCTGCAGGAGGAATAGTTGATGTATGGAAGGAAGCATGGAGGCACTAGCATTGGGTGTCGATGTATCTCTGCAGTGTTTCCCCTAAGATGGAATCATAGCAGCGGTGCGAAGGCACCCAGCAAAATGTGAGCGTGCAGCGCGTGGAATTTTTTTGTGCGTGCGAAGTGCGCCCCGCCAATATGTTTCTATGTGTCTGCCAGCACAAGAAAGGCTCTTGAGGCCTAGTACATAGTGGCAATGTCTCCAGATTTAGCTAAATACACCTTTATTGAATATACAGTAACATAAATACTACAAACCCACATAAAAAAATTAATAAAAAAGGGTCGCTACTTATTATTATTTTAATTTAAAAAAAGTTTTTGGTACCTGGCTGGCGCTCCCTAGCAGCCGCGCGCATATTTCAGCATATTAATGAGATTATCAAACAGGGAAAATGATCACGTCCTGACACGTAACCTCTACTGCTGACTCAGCTTGGTGTGAATACAAAACAGGATGGAGGAAGACCACAATGCCATTTAGACAAGAACTACGCTGACTTGTCATAAGCTTATGACAGGAAGACCAACTGGACAGTGAACAGGATACACATGGCCTGTTTGCCTTTCATTTGATTTTTTTTTCACTGATCATTTCAAATCATAAATTGAATACATTTTTCACAGCAAATGAGAAACAAGCCAATCTAATCACATCATCATCTAGTTATAATTACCATAATTTCCTCCTCACACTCACATACCTTGGCAGTCCAATCTTTGTTAAGGTAATATATGCATGTGACACAGCGTCCGTCGCCGTTGGGGTTATCCACATGGCGCACGTATCCTGTGCCGTTTCCAGGGTAACATGCCACCATTGCCTGAAGTCAAGAAGGAAAAAAAAGCATGATTAGTAAAAAAACAGATGCCCAGAAAGCACAATGCATTCAACTTCTAGATCATTATACATCATACATTTTGTCATGAAACAGTTAGTACTGCATGAACATGAAGAAGGAACATTGAAGATTGCATTAAAATCGTGTGTGTTTATGTCTAATGCTGCTGCCAGTGTAGCACTAGGCAGTCAGACCCGGAGCAGTGGAAGCAGCTCAGATTGCTCTTTGTGGGCCTGTGACGTGGATGCAGCAGACAGTCTTGGCACAGCCAGATGGCATTGTCCTCTCCTCACCTGCATCAAGACTGATACAAGCGGTCGTCGCTTACAACCCAGCTGCCCCATTATAAACTTTAAACTATTGAGAAAATAAACCGGAGATATCAGGCAGCACGTCAACTTCCCCTTGCCTTTTCCTGCTCTATTAAGACTTGCATGATCTGCCTGGGTGTTGGCAGCGAACCCCTATGAGCTCTTGTAAACTTCTTGTCGTAAACAGCGTAGAAAGTCCCTCAGCAATACACACACACACACACACACACACACAGAAATCCCTGACTTTTCTTTGAAATTAGACTTTCATGGAACAGTACATTTTGAAAAGAAAACAATCCATCTGATTCTTGCACTGGCCGAATGATAAAACTGCACATTGTATATATAACATGTTGGACTATAAGCACTGGAAATTACAAGCAACACTTGTGTGACACCATGCAACTGTGTGTGGGTTTTCTAACTTGAAAGGGGATCCGAGGTGAGCGGCGAACGTGCACAAACGCAGAGGGCAGGTTTAGCCCTCATGCACAGCTTCTAAGCAATGATATGACAAACAAAAGGCAAGTTCCTCCACATTTTTCCGTGCACTTGGATCAACATAAACGATAGCATAGCAACATTATTATAAACACTCACAGCAGACTAAACTTTATTTGACTTGGTCTCGTGCCAAGTTAAATAATGTCCTGCTTTGTGTGTTTCTATCTTGAGCGGCTATCTTGTCTGCAGACGAACGATATGATGCGCTACATTTCAAAATCTTTGGATTGCAGTTTTGAACAAAATCACTGAATAATTAATCTAAATCTGTTGGACTTCATACTTCTGGAAAGGTATATTTTTGTGTCCTATAAAATAACCGTATTGCAAAATCTGAACGTGGACATTATTTTCAAGTTCAGTTAGTGAAAAAAAAAGGATCCCCATCACACATACGTCTGATTGTTATTCTCATCTGACCATAGTTGCTTGCGTCAGTCCACATTGTGCTCACGTCTTTTGAATGATGCAGGTTAACACTGCAGCGCACGATATCAGGGCCTTCAAAGCAACACAACTCCAACAGAAGGATGAAGGGGGTGGGGAGCCAAACTGACAAAGGGCTTCCTGTCGGTAAGACGCAAGTACGGAGTAAGCTTTTCGTGTGAATGAGCGTGTGTCTGTGTGTGTCTGTAAAAGAGAGGGAGAGAGAAAGAGGTGCATAGACGGAGAAAGCAGAGGGGTGGGGCTGGAGCAGAAGAGAGAAAGAGAGGAGTGAACTGCTGTAAACTTTGACTCCTGGCCTCCCTCCAGAGGAAGCAGTATTTTAATGGTTGTGCTACGTGCAGAGCGTGAGGAAGGTTGGCTGATCCTCGGCTATGTCGCCCCTCCTACCCATAACTGCTCGACTCACACTGCAAGGCTGGAGATGGGTACAGAGTCTCTGCTAGGAACAGCGTGTATATGTGGACTCAGATGTGTGTGTGTGTGTGTGTGTGTGTGTGTGTGTGTGTGTGTGTGTGTGTGTGTGTGTGTGTGTGTGTGTGTGTGGGATGACTGAAGGTGAAGTGTGAGAGCCTTGGCAAAAAGACGAGTGCACAGCAGTTTCGCCTTTCATTCACAGCTGTTGAAACTGTAGGAAAAGGTTAATCGACTGCAGGAGAAGCTTAACTCTAGTACAAGCTCAACTATGCACCTGAGAGCATGCCAGGTAGTGTCGTACTAAAATATACAATAAAGCAAGTTTGTTTATGAAACAATATGCCATTTGATCAGGTCGGCACTTGGCAAAATCAAACATTCTTATCAGTGACAACTTACACAAAAGTGTACACAAGAAAACACATGGGACTGGAATGCAGATCAGCTAGTATCTGTAAATGCCGACCTTGAATGAAGTGCAGATTGACTTTCATGTGATCTGGTCATGAGAACCCAGCATGCCGAGGTACAAGGGACACCACTTTTGATCATATCTTCAGTCAGAGAACCACAGATGGCTTGCCACTAAGACCTTGAGGAAACATGCAGCAGCATTGCAGACAGGGTGGCAAAATGTGGAGCAAATCCCTGGTTCTGTACAATAAAACACAAGTGTCACTGGAATTGGAGTATGTTATTCCTTAATATTTCTCTGATGGCACCACTTCAAACTCGAAATGTCATATTGAGATTTATTCTTGTTCTGAACTAAATATCTCAACAGTGCCTGCTCAAAATGAACTTCTTCCGCTATAAGAAATTCTTAGGATTTCTTAATCCCAGCATTGCAACTTCTTCTTTATGCATCTTCACCTTTGGCCTTTATCCCCATTTGAGCTTCTTCCTGTCAGCCACTTATTCTTCTGAGTTCCACAGCGGCCCTCATTAGGAGGTTGACCTCGCTCTTCATGCTGTTTGTTTACATTCCACAGGCACAGCTTCAGAGGCCCACTGGCATTTACAGACCAAGAGTGAACTGGGGTTAGTTTTAGACAGTAACTATAATCTATTTTTGTGTTATGAGAAAATGTAACCGCTAATAGACCGGTGACAGTTACAGTCATTACAAAGACCCCCAAGGTCGCTGCAATATTTCAGACTATAATCAGTTGTTGATATGCAGAATGAAAGAAATTTAAAAATTCAAAAACGTATTTGATGAATATCCATTAGTATCCGTGTGGTGATTATATGGTGATTCCCTCTGTTTGGGAGACACTAATCTGTTCCACACAAGTCGTGTGCTGATGTTTATTTTTTTTTCCGATTCTCAATTTGTCTCAGACAACAGCAACTCCAAACTCAAAAAAATCCAGCGTAAACATGAATAGACACAAGCAGAAGTCAGACTAATATTTTGCATTTTAGATTATACCCACAGATATAAGGTTAGCTAAAACATAGGACTTTGCTTTTCTAAATGTAGTATTAAGTATTCCCAGTTCAGTTAGAGAATAAGATTGTGTACAGGTGTTTCCACAGAGTAATATTAATCACAAACCAAAGCTTACATTTCATATTAAAAAGCTGCAATTCCTAAGAAGGATATTAAGTTACAATAAAAATGATATCTCCATGCCTCCAATGTAACAAGTTAATATACTTCACTGGCTGATATCAATTCAAATAAGATGCGCAGCAAAATTCCAGCACTTTAACTAAATAACTTACTGTTTTCAAAACACAGGAGAAAGGGAACCATCTTGTATGTAACACAACACCTTCTATTGCAATTGGAAAAGCTTAAAGTGACACTTTAGTGCAGTCTGTGAAAAAAGCTGAATAAAAACAACACACCGCTTAGCAGGCACGCACAATAACTCCAGACCAGCTGCCGTAGCATTAAATAATGATGCTTTTTACACAATCAGTGATTTAACCAAGGCTGTCTGATAAGAATGTCCATCCCTTGCCCAAAATGCAAACCTCTACCATGTTTAATGAGTGATTCTGTGGAGTGTTTCTGCTTCCAATGACCAACTGTGGCAAACTTGCAGTTTTGTCACGACTGCCACAGAATCATAAATAATACAAATTCCATTATCAAATCAAATGGATTTATAAAACTGTGTCAAAAGGTTTAAAGAAACAGCCCTGTTGTCGCTAGAGCAATATGGTCGGACGCAAAGGGCAAGCCTCAGCACCACTTTAGCTGCCTTTAAATGCCCTTTTGCGGGATAACCTGATACCCATGTCTCTTTATCTCACCTCCCCATATCCACACTGTCCTGTCAAATAAAGGCCAAAATGCAACAAAGAGTTTTGTACCTGGGATCTCCATGTACTGTATTCATTACCATTGGTTCAAGCTTACTATAAACCATTGCTGTTCCCATGCAAGAAGCCACCATAAGTTCCGCTTCAGTTCCATTACGCAGAAATAAATGTCCAATCGCTTACATGAGATCAGCCTCCTTATGAGGTTTTCTTGTCAACAAAAAATATGTTTTACATTCAGTGTTTATCCATTCACAATGTGTGAATCATTAAGATCCAACATGTTGAATAGAATCCTCTGTAATGACGTGCATATAAAATGTAGTAAACAGGGTTTTTTTAACAATAGAGTTGATGGCATGTTATTGCCTCCAACACTTAATCGGTGGAACAGCAAAAACTAGAGACATGACATGGTGCCCCTGTGCGACCATGATAAAAAATATTTGTAAAGTGTAATGTGACTAAAACACATTCCTGAGGTACGCTATAAGAAAATACTTTTGTGAAAAATTACTTCAGGAATTTGCTTTCATTGTTGTGTTTACTAACTAAAATACTGTGCAATGGAGAAATATCAAAATCATTATTTTGTCAATTCATAACATTTTTAAATGTGTGATTCATTGACAATATGATAAAGAAAGACACTTTTGTTTGATTAATTACTTAAATCTATCATTGTTCAACTAATTGATTGATCATAACAGCAACACTACATATTTTATCAAGCATTGCCTTTAATCTGCTCATTACTGGTGGTTTGAATAGGGCAGCTGTCAAACAACAAAATCCAAACAAAACTTAAAATAATGGTTTGTCCTGATTGATAGAATCTGAGGGATGAAACCCTCTTTAATGGTCACACATGCAGAGCACACAGCAAACACAGTGAAATGTGTTCTCTGCTTTTAACCCATCCTAGTACCAGGAGTCTATACTAGGAGCAGTGGGCAGCTATTGTACAGCGATCACTTCAGTGCTGCCATCAGTGCATCCCCGGTTAGCACACTGATGTAAGCCATGATCTTGGGTGGAACGAAAAAGGAAAAGCTGCAAGGGGTCTGCTCACTTTACAGAAGAGATGCTTATCCAAACACGGGTACAAACAGTCGGGATGGAGACCTTACAGCACAGGAGAATGTGGGAACCGAGGCGGTTTGGGACCAGCCCGGGATAGCTCACTGTTTTACCTGTTAGAAAGAGGTGCTGCCTCGAGAGGAAATCCATGTTTAAAGTAATGACCTAGTTTATTATTTTCTTCTTTACTGTGGGCTGTGAACAATAGCAGCGCTACCCTTCACCCGTAACATGTTGTAGCAGAAACACAAGCAGTTTCTGGTATCATTACGCAAATACTCTGGAAAGAGAATTGAGTAAAGGCGTGGGCCAGGGATCCACTCATATAAACAGCCAGCCGCTTCTACTCTTACACTCAGACAAGTTATAAAATCACACAAGATAAGCTGACACATTAGGAAGAATGAGAGCATGAGCTAATCTTCAACACTGTTTTTTATATTCATATTCAGCAAGAGCTAGCAGAGCAGATATCTACAGTACTGGGACTGTTTTGTGCACTAACTGTGAATGGCTACATCGTGCCAAGCAAACTCACTCTGTAATTGGATCAGTCACTGATATTTTCTCGTTGCCAGTTGTAGAAGACTGAGCACAGCAAAAAACGTCAATTGAAAAAATGAATACATAGATATGTATTAAAGCCATTTTTAGTCAAAGTTCAATAAAATTGCGTACAAGTGTGTGGAAGAGGTGTCACTTTGAGCAAAGTTCCAACCTTCAGCTCACTGAGACTGGAGTGGCACAGGATCATTTATTAAATGACCAATTATGATGAATCACTTAAATCGATATCTTTCTAAATGTGTATTGAAATGATGCAATATTCATAATCCTAAATCACTTACTTACTGTTAATAGTATTTGTGATGCACAATTATTTTTATGTCATGCTCTACCCACCATAAATCCTCCCTGTCTTCAACTCTACAGCTGCGAACAGTCAAAAACAGAAGACCTCTTTCTCAAAGCCCCACTTGGATGACGTCCAGGAGTTCCTTAGACAGTCACGGCATAGTAAACGGAGAGATAAACATGTGCTCAAAGTTAGTATTAAATGTAGCTGAATTAAATCACATTTTATTAGATGCTTTATTACTGCTTGTGAGCCCCCGTTTATCAAAATACAACCTCACAGCTTGTCACATGCGACTACTGTCCTTCGGTGGTAAAGATTAAAACACTTTAAAGAAGAGCTGGTAATGGGCAGGCAAATATCTGACCATTAATGATGAAAGCCTGTGCTCAGCCTAATACCCAAATGTATTTTATTGTTAACGGTGTGATGGTTAAACAATAAGCAGGAAAAAGGTGGCATTTAGGTAGAGTAGGCGGAAAGAACAAGCGGCTTGCACAACCTATAGCATAATGTACAGTCGGCTCCAACCCTCAAAAGGACCACCACCGCATGACTTCCTCAAGCAGACTTACTCTATAGAGCCTTAAGATTTAGGTCAACGGTCAACTTCCTAATGAAAGCACACATGTCCACAGTCGCTTTGTGACATTGCAAGTGACGCAACAAATAACTCAACATGCAACAATATAGAAAGTTGCTCATTATTAAACACAACACGGGTAGGGAGGGAGAAAGATTGCCATCCGTCAGCAGTTTTTCCTGAAAATAAGAGGTGTGGCTAGCTGTGAGGTGGAATTGAATGACATGACATTATACATCTATACAGTGAGATAAAAGGCATGGCTATTTCATATTGCAATTTAGTGCAGGGATGTTTTGGGGCTATTAAGGATTTACAGTATATTTGATCAAATGTCATTAAATGCCTTGATTTGTCAGGTCATTAATTAACTGTGTTAACCAAGGAAGGTCCAGATAACATTCTTGCTTTTACTCATCAATAAATTACAATAAGAGGTACATTTTTATTACAGTAATAGCATTATTAAATGGTTTTTAAGTCCTTTTGTGAGTTGACATGTATGGAAAAGAGTCTATTATATGGCACTGTCCAGTGTGGGCAGCCTAAATATGAAGTGACTGTCATTATTGCATCAAGTCTGAATATTTGTGGATATGATGTTTCTTTATGTTGGCTCACCTCTACAGTCTGTGCAGCCCAGAGGTACACCAAAACTAACCCAAATTGTGGCTTGGGTGTTCATTTCGGACGCTATTCTTACAATACATTATTTTCCAAATACTCGAGTACTCAAAAACGTGAAACGCCCATCTATATCTTGAGACAATCACAAACTGGGTGTAATGTGGTATTATACTGGGTACACTGTAATTTCCTGTGCATCAGTTTCACAAAGACAACAACCATCAATAGTAGACCTAGTCCCTGATGGAGGGAAGAATAGTGCATCTAATCCTGACTACAAAACGGCATGCTAATCATAGTTATCATGTTACATATGCCACATGACTGTATAAATACTAGCGTTGTACACTAGCAGTAAGAATGTTTATTATGCAGCCTCGGCATAGCAGGCTACTATTTAACATGCTGGACATACTAACTTTGAGAGGGGAACAGCGAGTCAGTGACAGGACAATCGTGTCGCGGCAACACACACTTCTTTATATGTTGCCTGATAATGCTATAATGGCATCAGCAAGCATTCAACCGGCTGGAGCTGCAGAGAAACAAACATGTCCTGCTGCCTGCCTGCGACTTCTCACAATGTTATCAAGTGAAAAGGGGAAATGGAAACAATGACATTAAATAACTATTTGGGCAAAATGTTTTTCCTCTATCTTTCCAAAAGCTAACTGTGCTTACATTGTGTTGTTTCCCTTTGAGCCATTGATACTGGCGGCCCTCCATTTGTGCAAGTCATTCTGATTTTCCCTGGTCACAGCCCAGGCGTGTTTGCCAAGGCAACTCGGGCGGTAGGTGTGACTCACTGGCCAGCCGCGTGGATCTACTTCGAAACATACCGCTTGTTTAAAAATGTCTTTTTTATTTCAATTTATAAAAATGTTTCACTCTTTATTATTCCTTTACGCTTCGAGCCTTGAAAAACTGGATTAATGAAAGCACTAATGTACCTATCCCCTTAAAACTTGGTGATGTCTTATTTTCTGCCATGTCGCCATATGACTGTATGCATACATGTGGACCAATTATTGGCCAAGCTGTGAACGTGTGGAGACATGGAGAGAAATTGTGCAATTTTTTTGTAGATTGGCATCGTAACACACCAATTGTTCATAACCTGTTATTATGTATGGGAATTTTTTATGACATCTCTGCAGTATGGAACGCGGTGTAACGGTATACGTACCGAAAATATTCGGTATGGGCCCTTCGGGTCGGTAGACGTGTGTACCTAACGAATATAACGTTAAAGGTAAAAAATTGGGAACGTGAAAAACTTTTTGGAAGTAATCTCAGGTGCTGCGTCGCAGTGTTCAGTGTTATTTGCTCACATTGGGTTCAACGCGTCATAGAGCGACCAAGTAATTGCATTGGACGAAAGGCATACTATGAGAGCTGGTCACAGGGATGCGTTCAAATTTTGTCAGTAGTTTGGGGAACTGTCAAAATGGCGAACGCAGATAAAGTTGAGCTCGAAAATCCTCCAGCATCATTGAAGTCTCCGGTTTGGGAACATTTTGGTTTCGCAGTTAAATACAAGGATGACGGACAAAGACAGGTGGACTGAACCAAAGCTGTTTGTCGGCATTCTTCAACTAAAATGTATTACGCGGCTGGCAATACATCAAACTTGCACACTCATTTGAAAAGGCATCACCCGAACTCGAATATCACGGGGGCCAAAAGAAAAATGACTGAAGTGCAAACCCAACTCCCACTAGCATTTAAGCCTCCACCACTCGCAAAAAGTTCAGTGCCATGTTAGCAAAGCGCTACCTGGCTGTATCTGCTACCTCTGTCCCTAGCGAGAGGGTATTCTCCACAGCATGAGACATTGTAAGTGCCAACAGATCTGCCCTTTCGGCAAGTAATGTGGACAAGTTAATTTTTCTTAAAATCAACATGAAAATACAATGACAAACAAGTTCTAATATCAAACTAGTACAGTACAGTTCAAGTACAGATTATTTCAGTTCATCAAAATGCTGCACCTTAATTTGTATTATATTTTGTAATTTTTGGAGTGAACATTCACAGTTTAATAATAATGAAAAACCCCCTCTCCAGCGCGTACTGTTTGAATGACAGGAGTAAACACAGCTGACAGCCGCGGTGAAACTCCAGCGGTTAGGGTGAGAATATTCGCATTGCGTCTGTTGTGAACGCAGCAGAACGCAGTTCAGAAACCACTGTTCTGACGCTTTTAAAGCAACTTCGAGATGTTAACAGTATCAGGGGCACGCAGGCCATGGTGGCCGTAGGACGTACAATTATTTTCGGTGCTTCTTGGTCAGACCGGCCGTCATGGCCGCCGTGAAAATCCTACCCTGGTGCACTATCACGATATATATGATATCTCTGAAAAGGCATATCGTGGAGACCTAATATCTTCTCGACGATATATATCGTCATATCGCCCACCCCTAGCTCAGAATGAGTAATAAGTACCGAGAAGGCCAGAGGCATGCACTGTCGTCTCCGGGCCAGCTTCTTCCGATCTCTATCCTGCTTCTCTCTGTGAGCCAGCTGCTGGTAATACTCGATCAGCTTGTTGATCTGTAGGGAACAAAATATTATCCAGAGACAGCTTTTTGTTATTAAATAAGAGTGATGAAGAATTGGGGGTTTTGAGGTTAGTAAACATAATTTTAAAAAGGAACGTGGTCAAATACAGCAGTTACTTTGAAGTAACACAATCCAAGCAGTGTCTTTTGACCTCTAGGCTTTCAACATATATTGCATTCACTAGAAGGGGACAGATGGAAAACCTAAAAACATTATGCCTCCTACATTGGCTGTTTATAAAAAAACTTACATAACACGTAAAAGGGGGTAATTTTATGATTTGCTGGCACATTTGTGGTCCCACAAGTACTACAAACAGTTATTATTGCCTTTGCCTGTGGCTGGTTTTGTATGGGTCTCACTTATACATTTATTTAAAAACAAGTTATGATCAGGAAGCATGTGAGCAACTTGTGAGGATTTCAAATGGCCACAGGGGAAAACGTACCCGCTGAGTATGAGGGTTCTCTGGCTCCTGCCATCCACCACTGGCTGTACAGAACAAAAACCAAAACATGAGACTTTATATAACGATAAGTAACTCAAACAGCGGAGGACAGCTGTCTTCATGAGCTGAATTAATGAGCAACTCTAGATATACATCAGGACTTTGGGTTGTTGTGAGCTTAGAAATACATTTAAAGTGATAATATAATGTCAATATATTATAACAGCACTAACCAACTGATTTGTCGGCCATCCCCACGTCCCTGGAGGTCCAGCGACAGAAGCCACAGGCCAGGTAGTAGGCCTTCTTCATGGCCGTCTTGGTGGGGTCATCAGGCAGAGGAGCTGGGATGTTGGTGGCTCGGGTAGACAGTGTGTGCATGCAACACGGGCAGTCAAAACAGTTTGCACACCTACAGCAGAGCACAGATAATCCATAATGAATGACAGGTAATTAATGAAATAAACATTAAGAAGTGAGCAATGAACTGCAGGGTTTTGTGCAAATAGTTTTAGTGTGTACATGTCATTCTCACCTATTCTTTTTAAGCTTGGCCTCTGCAGATGGCATGTTCTCCAGACAGCTTGGACAATAGTGAGAGTCCACCTGATAACCAAGAAAGGGGTTCAGGAGAGGAGTCAGTCATCCACATTTTAAAGCTTATGTTACACTTGTTCGGTTCTTGAGTGTGTTGGTGATAAAAATACAAATGGGATTATTCTTAAATATCGCAGCATTTATGTGGTGGCGAAGATGGGAGAAGTATTTTTTTTTCAGGAGGAGAGCTTAGTGGTGGTTTTAAGCAGCTTAATCACGTGTTTACTAAGAAACATCAGGTATTCTGTAGTTGTAATACGTGAAAAGTCTAAGCACAAGGGTGTGGTATCTGTGAGACACGTTTACAAGATGGATTTTGACAGTGAAGACATGACTAGGGTGGACTAATGTTGTATAAAATAGAATGTACGAGTGGAAAATATTCCTTAAATATGGAAAGACGAATGATTTAACGTTAAGCTCAAATAATAGAAAGAGCTAGCTATCTAGCTAACTTGTTCGCCCATTTCTACTGTGCTCGACCACAGCATAAACGGAAGTTCAACCGTCACTCGCAGCCAATGAGATGCAGAGAAATCGTGATTGACAAGCAGCGTAGCCATTCAATGGGCCAGATGGTTGGACTAATCCCGCCTACCTGTCAAACTACTGGCAAGCCGGCTAACAACACAATAGCTAAATTAAGCTAACAACAGCTAGCTTGATGATAGCAGGGCAAACGGTTTACGTACCTCGTGAGACACACATTCCAGAGACCGTAGCTCACTACAGTAACGACAGAAATAAAGTTGAGATAAAGGGGCTCTGATTCTTTTTTCTCCACGAACCAGATAGACAACTCTATCTGGCTGCAGAAGGGACGCCATCTCTGAGCAGCGCAGCCGAGTCTGTGGGGTGACTGCCTGCACTGCTTGGACTGATGTCACCGCTAGTTGTCTGGCTGAGAGGAAACACAACGCTGGAGAACTCATGTGGTCAACATTAAAACTGCCACAGAAGTTTTCCAGGACCTAAAATGCAGGTGGCAAACTCTAGTTGAGGCAGTGGGGGTAGAGGCTTAAAGTTAAGTAGGCTTACTGGACACATATCCGTTGGATCATAATGTTTGTCAATTCAAATTCTACTGTAAAAACATAGGCATTTGAGTGTAGGTCACAATTCTGAATCATAAAACGTTTAAGGATTTCATAAAAGTCCATCGGAGCAAGTGTTCTCACCAAGTCTAGGTTTCCAGAGTTTGAAATAGTAATTGTAAAGTAAAAGACAAGCACTTTATGTTCAATTACAGACAGCGTTTATCCATGCATGGGCCTATCTCACTGTGTACATTTCTAGCCACCAGAAGGCGTCGTTCAGCAGCTGTACGGCCCTCCGCGCCTCCGCCCCCCCGCTGAGATGGTCTGGATCATAGACTGTATATATAAATGATAATAATAATAATACAAATAATAATATATAAAATGCGGTCTGGATGCAGACCGCATAACCCTTTAGGAAACGCCCCCTATAGGATCCACCCCCTTTAGGATCCGCCTCCTTGCTGTGGTCTGCATACAGACTCTATTGTTAACTGCTGCCATCGTGTGTTCAGAAATTGTGTNCGGTCCTGTTTTAACTGCTATTACATTAACACAAAAACCATTAATCATCACCACATTTCATTTAACACCCTTTCAAACTGTACATATTGTATCAGACTACTGGTATACATGAACAACTGCAGTAAATATACAAAGAATAGACACTGAACATGTAGTGCGTGTTCCAGGTATGATCCATGTGGGGGGATGGGGACATAAGAGCGGGAAATGTGTCAAATTGTTCTGTGTGTGTGTGTGTGTGTGTGTGTGTGTGTGTGTGTGTGTGTGTGTGTGTGTGTGTGTGTGTGTGTGTGTGTGTGTGTTTTATATGATCCGGATGGTTACTAATTGCTTTTCTTTATGGCGGTCATTTTTGACCGGGAACACCATGGGTGTTACAAAGTTGACTAAATCATCCAAAATTCAATGAAAGTGGTGATCAGCAACTTTATATGTTCAAATGTGTACTGGGAAGGATATCATAAAGCCTTAATGCAATCGAATGTAAAACAAAAAAGTTATGATTGATGAAAGCAGTAAATCGGTCAGATTTGACCCGAAGACAACAGGAGGTAATAGATGTCTACCTTACATTTGATTAGAAGGTTAATAATGCTACAACAGCTAGTTTAACAAATGTATACTTTGACTATGGCATAGTTCAAAGTTATAGTTCTTAATTAAACTGTGGATGGTCGTACAGTGAATAGCACTAATTTGCCATGCGATCATTGAGATTCAATACTTTATTTCAAACTAAAATATGGCTCAAACTTGTTTTCAAACCACCATCTCAGCGGAAATTATGAAACAACAGCTTCAAGGCCACTTTACAATTCATTGCATTTAAAAAACTACCATGAGCATAACATTTAATTGCAGATTGACTACAAAACTTTAGTGTTAGAAAGGTTTCACTTCTATGTTCAGATCTAGCTCGAGGGTGAGGTGGCTAACTTTTAAGGTTCAAATCAAGTCAGTCTTTATTTTTACAAAACTGTCTAGCTTGCACTAATATAAGAGCAATTTAAGACAGGCCTAACACACTTATATTGCTAAAACCTAGCTACAACTGGTATTGCTAACAATGACTAATTTAGCTAGAAGTGGTTTTGCTAACAATGGCTTACCCAGAAAGAAGTGGTATCAGTAACTTTCTGAATTGTTCCGTAACAACAAGTCAACACGAGTGTGACGTCAGTCCCAGCTTTGATTTCTGACAGTTAAAAGTAATTTAGCATAACTTTCTCCTGCCAGTCACTTCATAATTAATGAAGAAATAAAAATGAGTGTCTTTACCATCTTACTTTTGTCAAATAAGCCAACATAAACTAAATGCCGAAATGTCAAATCATTCCTTATAACTATGGGTTTATATGAAAGGTTCAAGATGAACCCTCTTGTCACAGTGTATTAGTGACGTGTAGCTACACCTGTCTTCACTCTGGATGGTGTTGTAAGACAGACACACACTCCCACTGGGACTCTGAAGATGAACTTGAAGGACATCAAGTTAGAGCCCATTGCCTACTAAACAGATCTTGCTGACTTGGCCATTAGTTAGTTATTTCTCTCTGACACACACACTAACACACTTGGCAAGCAAACACACATAATTGCGTCAGATTTCAAAGAGCGACGATGGGTTGGCCCTTAGCAACACCACAGATACATCGTTCATTTAGCAGATTGATGAGCTGCATGTGTCTTTTGGGAAGAGTCTTCAGTATTATTACTATCAGTCATGTTGACGGTGGATCTGGGATTGCTGTGGAGAACAGGACTCATGTAACTGAAGCTGGAGGAGGAGAGAGTGCTAGTGCTAGTGGAAGGGCGGACAAAATGTACCACTGCAAGGCCAACCTGGAAGTTCTATCTCTCCATCTATCTATCTATCTATCTATCCATCTATCTATCTATCTATCCATCTATCCATCTATCCATCTTTCTATCCATCTATCCATCTATCCATCTATCCATCTTTCTATCCATCTATCCATCTATCCATCCATCCATCTATCCATCTATNGAGTCCTCTCCTCTCAGACTGAGAGGCTCAGGTGAGCTAAAGGACTCTCTGAGTGTTTAGATAGTTAACTTTAGTCTAAGATATCTCAGTGGGTCTCAAACGGTTTGGTCACTCACGAATTATGTAAAGGGCACACCTTCATATGATCATTATAGTTATAAAACAATAAGAGAATAAATGAAACAGGTATGAAATACTATATGACAGTAAAACAAGAATACAGTTTAAAAGGGTGATTTGTAAAATATCCCTAAAGAAAAAGTACATCTGTTTACAGTTCTGTTTCAAATGGGTGTTGAGAGATGTATCCATAGATCTCTTAATTTTGCTCTCAATGTGCACCAGATTGATGCATTTAACTTCAATATTTAAAACAAATCTTCCCTGGGGAGCATCCAAATCACTCCCCTTTTAAACTGTATTCTTGTTTTACTGTCATATAGTATTTCATACCTGTTTTTCATTTATTCTCTTATTTTTTTTTACCTATAGGCTAATGATCATATGAAGGTGTGCCTCGGAAATAATTGTTTACATTAATCGTGAGCAAACCGTTAAAGACCCACTGAACTGAGATAACTTAGACTAAAGTTAGGACTCTCCTCCACCTTGTTGTTGAAAAAGCTCTTTATATCCGTTAGCGTAGCTCGCTAGCACCAGAAGCTAACAACAACGATCTCCGGTACCGGTGCGCTCTCTCTCTCTCTCTCTCTTGCTCGTGCACGCACACAAAATGGCTCGTTCCATGTGTGGAACGAGCCATTTTGTGTGCGTGCACGAGCAAGAGAGAGAGAGAGAGAGAGCGCACCGGTACCGGAGATCGTTGTTGTTAGCTTCTGGTGCTAGCGAGNTGGCACGTCTGGGATTTGCCTCCAGTCACATGTGACAACAGGGGGATGGCTATTGAATAACTGTCCTCCATGTGTGGTTTCTGTACTTAAACGGTCATTGAATACAGCTGACTAATCACGTTGAAGTTCTTAAGTAGGGGACCTAATTTGGCATATCACATTTTGCTTTTGTTAAATACATATTTCGGAGTTAATCCGTGTATTAAACAAGCTTATTGGGCTATTAGATACTATCGGCTGCTTTTGCTTTTTCTACTGTGATGAAAATATTGTGCAGGTCCTTGGAGACCTTCCGACAAGTCAAACAGTTACGAAGGGGTTTAAAGGGGCACTGATCTGGCCTCTGCTAACGGAGAGGAACGACACGATTCCTTCTCTTTCCAAAGAGCATCTGGATTTGCAGTGCCCCAGGGTAAGTGTCTCATGCTTGCTCAGTCAAATCCTTCTCCTAACACACAGAGTTAGAGATTGGGTTTATTTTCTTACTCTCAGGCCTCCATTGCTTTAAGTTTTTATAACAAAACATACCTACGCAAACATATTTTTAAGACATTATGCTACTTGCTCCCTTAAAAGGAGCTAAACCAATAGAAAAACGGTATCTTGTAGGACTCTTCTGCTACACATGCAAAACCTGCCAGTTCTTGTATGTTCTGTTTTTTGGCTTTCACTGGGGCTCGCTTTCAACTACAATCTGTCCAGATGCGGTCCTTGGAGAACTAAACTGGCCCACACAGGATGAGGATGAAGACAGTGATGTCTCTATTGGAGGATTCCTGTAGGATCACAGGATTCCATGCGCACTTTTATTGAGATGGGTAAAACAACGTCTTCAAGCTTTGTTTACTGAAGTTTGTACTCTAATTATTATAACGAAGGCTGCGCTTCCTCTGTTTTTATGTTTACCGTGGTTTTCAGCTACAGTAACATCCAAGGCGTTAATTTTCAAGTAACATTATTGTGTTTAACTATTAACTGAAAGCAATTATAATAAAAGAATTTTTCTTGTTTAACTCTCCCCATTCCTTGGGAACTTGTGCAGTTCTGGAGTTGGATGGATGTGCTTCCTAATATGCCTGGATGTGACCGTGGTTTAGAGCAACTTCCCAAGCTCTCCACATGCCTTTCACAGCTGAAACTTCCAAGACATTACAAAGAGTACTGTCCGTTTTGAAAGGGCATTCTTGCTCTATTTGGAGCACTGAAAACTGGGTTCGGAAAATGGGGGGGGGGTTTTTTTTCTGAAGAGGACAGACACCCCTTAGTACTTGTGTAGGATGTGTTGGTCTTTTGTTTGGCGGCCAAAAATGTATGTTTTTCAGAGAGAAAAAACTCGTTAATGCCTACTCCGGCCAGTTTGTGTACACTGAAAATATATAAAGATAAACATGCTTTCCTTGTTATTGCACATAACAAGGAAAGCATGGTTATCTTTATATATATTTTCAAATTTTAAATTGATATTGGTTACAAAATGTTCATTAACTGTAACAAATGTATATTGCTTGATGCATTACAGTAAGTGTTGATCACAAGCATATCGGTTCAGTGCAACACATGTTATAAAATGACTACTGAACGTAATTTCATTACCATTAAATTTGTTATTGTATTAAAATCCAATATTACTGAATCTTGGTACCAGCGTCTTCATGTAATCAGTCAGATATTGTCACCTAATCGTCCTAGTCGGAAACTTTAAAAGCTACATTTCCCACAGCAACAGCCTTTGATACACACACATTTACTGTAGCATTTCAGTCAATAAGCTCACAGTTTGTACATAGACATTCCACACATTGGACAGAGGGCTCATCAGGGTCTGGAAGTCTTTCCACTCCTGGTCAGTCAGTGACGTTGCAGGCTGAACTTCAGGGGACCAGCACATGAGGCTGGCGATGAGCACCATGGTCCAGTTCCAGTCAACTCCAAACTCAATGTCAACCTGCAATTGCAAGAGCTAAAGTTAGAGTCAACCAAAATCAAAGTTTTAGTATATATGTCAGTTAATTCATTTTATATAACCTGAACTTTTGTATCATCTCCTGGAATTCCTGATTAATGTCCCATGAACTGCTTTGACATCAATCAAATAATTAAAAAGAGCAGAAAGCCCTGATGTATCATTATCTTCCTTAATCGCTTGTTCTGGTTGATCACAGCATTTTAGGAATACCTCATAGAAGTGTTTAAAGTGCCGATGATATGCAGAATAAAATAATTCCATCACATTCAGTTTCCTCGACAACAGGCCACTATTTGTTACATTGTGCTACTATATGCACTTTGGAATGGACCTCCATTGTATTATTTGTTTTAAACAGTTTGTGTAACACAGTGGTTCTCAAACTTTTTCGGTCAGGCCCCCCCTTTGGAAAGTAAAGTCAAAATCAAATAAACTTTGGAATACAATCAAACCTGTATAGGGCTCCTGCTGGGCCTCACGCTCATGGCGGTCCACAGTTGCATTGGGGACCGTTTCCTCTATGTGCTTAGTCGGTGGCAGTTCCAGCCTTGCTGGAAAACTGCAGGTGTTTCTGCATGTGCACAAAGCACCAGTGCAGAGCATAGAGATGCACTTCACAGTCAGGATTGAGAAGGCCTTCTCTCTCTAGGTTAAAAACATTGTGTTAGAAGAGATCCAGCACTCCCCTATAAACGTTTCTCCAGAGCCTTTCTATCCTTTTGAGGAAAGAAGGAAAAGAGAAAAGGAAAATATTTTAGTCTGCTAAGTGAACAAAAAAAAATACATATGCAAAATATCACCTTTCACCTACCTAATTCGTAAGTAATTAGAATTGAATTACTTTAATTAGAAGCTAAGTATTACTTTTTTGCAGATGATCAATTGGAAAATGTTCCTGATTAAGGTGGCAAGTGCACCAATAATTGCCTCCGGAAAAAAGCTGGAAGTTGGATTTTATCAAACAACATTTTGCTTGAGCAAAGTTCATCAAACTTGGGTGAGGTTTTTCTACTGTAAGCTTTGTTGAAACTGGATCAGGAAATTATATCAGCTGAACATACTATGGATGTATAAAAAGACGGACTAATGCCATATTTATTGCCACATTAAACTTGTTGTGGTTCAATATTAATGTTATGTAAGGTTCTCTGGACTGGAAAATACATTCCAATCCAAAGTTCCAACAGTATTTGCCCAGTCATGCAACGTGCTGGGACTTCCACTAAATAGATGTTTGAAAAATATTGTTATCTTTCCTTGTCAAATTATACAGTTGTGTCATAATTATAGTGTTTGTATTATTAGAAATATAACTTTTTTTTTTCTATGGTTTTATCTTACGGAAGACGAACAAAAATAAAACAACAAAATTAATAATGGCTAAAGCAGCTAAGAATAGTTGACATTGCAATCTTTACCCAAAGGACTTAATTTGATAAAAGTTTGACTTGAAGTTTAAGGTCTTTGATTATGGACACCTCTGCCAGCAATGTGTGATTCCTGTTCTCTCCTCGGTTTGCCACCATGTAGCGGGGCAACGTAACTTTTCTCCACCTTTATCTGACCTCCACGTGGATGGCACCCGTAGACATTGACGGTCCAAAAAGCTTCTACAAACTGTGCTGCCCGATTGTTGGTGGCAGCACTCAAGTACCGATGAGACGGGACTAAAGCGCTCCATTACCCATGCACACAAAACGCCCCTAAAGGGATATGTATAGGCACAGCATTAAGCGTCAATCCACTAATGTATGTACAGACATTTACACATTTAAAAGGCCTTATCTTAATAAAAGTTCTAATTACAATAACATAAATCATCTTAATTTGCATGTAAAAACTATTTGCATGCAGAGGAATTTGGTGCAATAATAATTTGGTCCATTTCATTCATATTTTATTTATATTCTCTTGCAGTTTTTAACTTGTTTTTTATGTTCTACCGAATATTGTATGTTGCTTGTTAGAGAGATCTGAGACTTCAGATTTTCAGTTACAACAATAAATAAGCTATCATGCATATGACAAAAAGCCTTTGAATCTTTGAAGTCTGGTTTGCATTGAAGCTGTTGATGCATATAACACATTTAGATGCCCATCTTTTGTACTGTAGTGAAGTTGGATGTTTTGAGCAATGCTTGAGAGATTAATGATTATACTTACCTATCAGTTTGTGATTGCCGTTGATGTGCCATAACTGTTTGGTGCTGGTCAAAGTTCTTGGGTTCAGCTGCAGAGTGCGGGGGGAAATCAAAACTCCACCTGGATCAAACGCGCCGGCATGGAATTCCTTGACACGTGTGCCTATTATTTCGGGGGAACCAAGCAAGAGATCATGGTGTTACTGCAACATAATGAAAGTAAGCATCTCCTTAAATATGCCGATAATGTGATTTATTATCAAGTAGTAAAAAAAAAACACTGCATGGAGGATTATTATAATAACAACAATCCCTTACTCTTGTATGCGTGTATCCCTCGTGCCATTCAGGGATGCCCCACCAGTCATTTGCGTATCATAGTTGGGATGATGCTGCAGAATTTGCGGTAACAGTTCTCATCCAAACTTGTATCTAACCATAGTCTATATATCTTGCACCTCTTGTCATCAAATCATACGAAACAATAGTAAGGTCACAATAAAACTATTGTCACCTTTTCGCACATGTACAATCAAAGTCACATCAGAATGAGTGTGTGGCTCTGTACTTAACCTGCATTGAAGATGTAGGTGTCATCTGGAAACAAATAGCTGCTCTCTTAAACCTCATTTACTATTATTAGGCCTACATCAATGTCTGAGGTAATGGTACTGGTTGCTTTGTCATACTAAAGCATGGTCTTGTATTCTTTGCCACGATCACATGTCTCTCTGATTGTATTTGGTTTTCACTAGGGCTGCAACAAACGGGACTTAATCTGATAATCGTTAATCTATCGATTAAAACGTTAATCGATTATTCGGATCCGTTAAGGTTTTACTGTACTACTACTTATATCAATACTGCTTATCGATCCGGTCTT